CCCTAATCATGATCCCAAGTTTATACGTCATGCCGTATGCTACTCCACTTAGGGGCAGACTGGTGAGGAATGTGCTAGTTCTTGAGCGGTGTTTGCCTAGACCGCGGCCATGGTCGATGATGGTGATCCTGTAGGGTTCAGGTGTACACACTCTGCAGAGTTTAAACTATACGCATAGCCTTGCTCTCGGTCATGATCATTCATTTAAACTATTTCACCCCACTAGTCTTCTCTTGTGCTTTGCTTCTCTCCCTCGAAGATAGGTCTGGCTTGAGGCCATTGAGATGAGGGGCATGCGGAGGCTACCTCACTGCTTAGACTGAGAGTATGAGGGTGATGTGAGGGATGATGAGCGGTGAGATGTGATGATGAGTGGATGGTGAGAATGAGTGATTGGTTTGGGATTAGAGGAGATTTATATTATATATATTGACGCTTTTGCATACGCTAAGGATGCAAACTACAGCCAAACTATTAGGGTCGCTAGATCCCTTTATTTTCTACTTTTCCACTAAAGCTCATTGGTGGTGACCATGGCCTACACACATCTGGTGGTGTGCAGATTTTCTGTCTTGCAGTGATGTTGAGAATAGTAGTTGGTTTGCGGTCTACTCTCAAGGATGCCCGTGGATTGAAGATTCACCAAGCTTTGCTGCAACGAGTAGAGCCTCGGTGTTTTGATTGATCTTAACCTAGAGAGCTTGTAATTAGGTTAGTTTTATTCCTAATTTTGTACTCTGTTGTTGTATGACTTTGTAATCAGCTAAAAAGTAGACGCCCGTGTTAGCTGAGGTATCCTGGGACTATCACAGAGGGGCAAGAGAGCCGGTATTTCAAGTTTTGAAATCCTGGTTCATTTCAGTCAACATACTAATTTCTAAGAAGCGCAAGCTTGGACCAAAGACAGTGGACTGTGTCTTTCTAGGATATGCTCACCAGAGCATTGCCTATAAGTTTTTAGTAGTAAAATCTAAAGTTCCTGATATGCATGTTGATACAATTATGGAATCTCGTGATGCTACATTTTTAAGAATATATTTCCTATGAAAGATATGCATTGCAATACTATATTTTCCTATGAGATAGCTCCTAATTTTAATATACCTATCGAGTCTCCTGTTGAGTCATTTGAGCAACCACTTGAAGAAGTTCATGAGAAGGATGACAATGAAGTTCCTATGAGGAACAAGAGACAAAGGATTGAAAAATCTTTTAGTGATGATTTCATTATATACCTTGTGGATGATACTCCCAACTATATTGCAGAGGCGTATGCATCTCAAGATGCAAATGATTGGAAAGAAGCTGTTCGTAGTGAGATGGACTCAATTCTTTCTAATGGAACTTGGGAATTATCTGAGCTGCCATTTAGTTGTAAACCTATGGGCTATTAGTGGGTGTTCAAGAAGAAGCTTAAGTCTGATGGTACTTGTACTATTGACAAGTACAAGGCTCGACTTGTGGCTAAGGGTTATACCCAGAAGAAAGGCGAAGATTTCTTTGATACTTATTTACCTGTTGCTAGAATGACCACTATTCAAGTGCTACTTTCCCTGGCTACCTCATTGGTCTTCTCATTCATCAAATGGATGTAAAGACAACTTTCCTTAATGGAGAGTTGGATGAGGAAATCCATATGGATCAGTCTGATGGGTTTGTAGTAAAAGGTGAAGAGTGCAAGGTGTGTAAGTTATTAAAATCTTTGCACGGCTTGAAACAAGCACCAAAACAATGCCATGAGAAGTTTGGCACAACTTTAATGAGTGCGGGCTTTGCCATAAATGAAGCTGATAGGTGTGTGTACTATTGACATGGTGAGGGAAAATTTGTTATATTATGTTTATATGTTGATGATATTCTAATATTTGGAAGAAACATTGATGCAATTAATGAGGTCAAGTCTTTTCTGTCAAAGAGTTTTGACATGAAAGATCTAGGAGAAGCTAATGTGATTCTAAACAATAAGCTGATTAAGGATGAGAGTGGGATAACTTTGTTGTAATCTCACTATGTTGAGAAGGCCTTGAGCTGGTTCGGCTTTATGGATGGCAAGCGTTCTCCAACACCTTATGATCCTAGTGTGAAATTGAGAAAGAACAAGAAGATTGCTAGACTAATTGAGGTACACTCAGATCATTGGTTCACTCATGTATTTAGCTAGCGCAACAAGACCAGATTCTCTTTTGTTGTGAGCAAGTTGAGTAGGTACATGTCTAATCTGGGTGATGATCATTGGCATGCACTTGAAAGGGTGTTGCGCTTAAGGGATATAGTGATTCGAACTGGATTTCTAACATTGATCAAATGTACGCCACTAGAGGGTATGTGTTTACTCTTGGAGGTGGCATAGTGTTATGGAGGTCTTGCAAACAGACTATTTTGACTAAATCAACCATGGAAGCAGAACTTACTACTTTAGATATAGCTTCTGCAGAGGTAGAATGGCTGTGTGAGCTCTTGTTGGACTTACCGGTGGTTGAGAAACCAATACTGGCTATCCTTATGAACTGTGATAATCAAACAATGATTAATAAACTGAACAGTGCTAAGGATAACACGAAGTCAAAAAACACATTAAAAGACGTTTGAAATCTATCAGGAAGTTGAGAAACTCCGAAGTAATAGCTGTGGCTTATGTGCAAACAGACAAAAACCTGGCAGATCCCTTTACAAAAGGGCTATCACGAAATGTGAGAGACATTGCATCAAGGGAGATGGGTATGAGACCCATGTGAGTTTACAGTAGTAGTAACCCAACCTTTTTGATCGGAGATCTCGTGACTAAGGATATGGGAAGAACAAGCTATTGGTAAACTAAGGAGAGTAACCTATAACCCTCTCTAAGTGAAGATGCAATACTCTCAAGGCAATGAGGCACTGTATGGTAGGTTGACAAATGCCCTAATGTGTTCTATTGGCTTTAACAAGCGAAGATGTTGTCCTAGAGAGGTGATGACGCAGCCGAGGGAGGTGACGACGTCCAGGAATGCGGCACGCAGGGGGTTCGAGCCCGCCGCGGCAGCGGTGAGGAAGTCGGGCAGCACCGCGTGAACTCGGCCCTTTTCGGCGAGGAGTTGGAGCCAGCGCGCGAACTCGGCCTGGTGCTCGTCCATGTAGCAGGTGAGGCGGGCAGAGCGGAATGGGCCTAGGTGTGCGGCGGGCGACTGCGCGGCAATGTTGTAGACCTCGTCGGGGAAGACGGAGTCGAGCGCATGGCAGAGGGAGGAGTCGGAGAGGGCAGTGTAGTGTAGCCGCATCGGGGGCCACGGGGTCGGCGGCACCGCGCGTGGGTTGAGGCCGTGCGCCTCGTACTCCTTGGAGAGAAACAACGTGGTGAGGGACTCTGGGAGGTACTTGTACTCCATCTCCAGTAGCTGCTGCAGCGTGTTCGCCTCATCCTCTGTAGCGGCGGGCCAGGGTGACGACGGAGACGGCTTCTCGAGCTCATGGATTTGGCGCTGGTCCTCCGCTGGGAAAGTCTCCACGGACACGTTCTCTCGGACGGAAACGGAAGCGGCGGCCGAAGCGGTGAGCGCAGGCGAGACGCGGGCGGGTACGTCAGGGTCGGTGGATGTGTACTCGGTTGCCGCAACGTCGTCGGCGAGCTGCACCTTCATCGCCGGAGGCGAGGAAGAGTCGGAGGCGACCGGCTCGTAGACGCGCCCCTCCATGACGCGGGCAGGCTCCTCGAACAATCCACCCCAGTTGTCGGCCACGATGTGAGCGACGACGGCGAGCTGCTCCTCATAGGCTCGTAGACACGCTCCTCCACGAGGGGGACAGGCTCGAACAACCCTCCCCAGTTGTCGGCGACCACAACGTCATCGAACTGCGCCACAGGGGTCCGCTCGGGGGATGACGATGCAGGACTCGACGGCGGCGACGTGCCGCTCCCGTACGGCTCAGGACTCGGAGAGGCGCCGCTCCCACCGAGCCTCGATCTCGTCGAACTTCCTGAGAACCTCGTCGAAGGCAAGCTTGAGGGAGGGATCCATGGTGATCGATGGCTCTTGTACCAGATGTTAGCAACCCTGGGATTGCCCTCAGATACCTGATTCGGGTAGCAAGGAACTAGATAAAGTACAGAGTCCTAAGAAGAAGTTGAACTGTTGATAATTTGATTGATGCCCCTTGGCTGCTGTCCCCGTGCCTTTTTTTTGTCGACGCCAAGCTGTCCAGCAGGCCATTGCTCGACTAGGTCTAAGCCCACGGTCCATATAAAAGCCCAAACATGGGTAATCCCTGGCAGAATCTTTTACCACTAGACTCGCTCAGTGATTGGCTGACGCTTGGAAAACCGCCGCAGCTCCGCATGCATGTCTCCCCTCGGTTGACTCGATCCATCCAGGCGTTCCATCAAGACGCGCACTCGCGGAGGTGCCACTCCCACCCACAGGCCACAAGCGGGCGATCCCTATCGTCGATCCTCGATCGATATCCTGCTTCCTGCGGCAGCGCCGCAGCGGCAATACGTGCGGCGTCGTCCCGACGTCCCGTCCGTCTCCTGCTCTCCCTCTGGCCTTTGCCGGCGATTCTGCCCCTGCCGCCCTGCCCCGCTCCGGCCTACTACCGGCCTGCCTGGCTGCACGCACGGCAGCACGGCGGCAGTCTCCGTCGTCTACGTTTGCTTGCCCCACGCCGGCAGGCACCGTGAAGACTTGAGTGCAAGTCGTTCTCACGCACTGAGGCTCAGCAGGTTTGTAATTGTTGCCGTGAATCATCTATTTTTCCTTTCTAACAGAACTTGTTCATGCCGTGAAAACTTGAATCTTCTGTCTCTCCTAAAAAACTTGTGTACATAATTACTTATGAATTATTATTTGTGTCAGGAAGATTATATCTCCAAATCATTCATCACTAGATTAGAGATTGGTTCATATATGATTTTTTTTATCAAATTGTGTATGATTTTTTTTGTTCGGCATAACCTATGGCAAAATTCTAGGTCCGCCGCTGCATCAACCCATCTAATATATTCTCGTACGTGGAGGGAGGGAGAAATGGAGGGTCCATCTTCGCCGTCGTTGAAACTTAAGGCGGAGTGGGGTCCGGCCATCTGCATGGTGCTGATCGAGGTGTTCACGACGGGGCAGATGCTGCTCACAAAGGTGGTAGTCGACGCGGGGCTCTTCGTCTTCGCCCTCCTCACCTACCGCTTCTTCCTCGGCACCCTGCTCGTCGTCCCGCTCGCCATCATCTTCGAGAGGTCCGTGCACGTTGAGCAACTCTTTCCTCCTTTAGTAATTATTATTACTCTGTTAATAAGATGCATGTTCTGCACAAATTACGTTCGCACCACCCTTGAATCGAGAGAATGATCTTATATTTTCTTTGCCGCGTTTTCTTTTCTTTCATTTCAACTCATGTGTTTGTCTAGCTTTGTCTTCTTTTGCTGGTGCCAGAAGCCACCGAATTCGCTCGCGAGCGGTGCAGTTATGGCATGGCGTGTATATGGAACATCATGAATTTTTTTATAAAGACCCGAATATATATATTAAAGCAATCCAAGTACGGTATAAAAGTTTGTTTTCCAATTAATGATACAAACTCGTAGCTCACTGGCTAAAAAAATAGAGTCTGAACAACGACTCATATAAGGTGCAGATGAACTGATATATACAGAGCAAACTAAATATCTAAAATCCATACTGCGGCTGACGATGTTTTTGTTGGAGGCGCCGGGTAAAGAGAGAAGTGACTGTAATAAATATCTAGATCCTTAGTCTCACACTTCGATTGGCACTCTCTTAGATTATCTAGTCGGTCTATGTCTCGAGAATTTGATATCTTAAGCCATAGATATGTACTCCAACGGTTCCAAATTATAATTTCTATAACTTTTTTTATTCCAAGTTTGACCACTCGTCTTATTTAAAAAATTTATGTAAACATAATCATATTTAAATCATTCTTGAAGAACTTTGTTAATAAAGCAAGCCACAGAAAAAGAAGTGATATTTTGCACAAATTTTTGAATAAGACGAGTGGTCGAACTTGGGGTCAAAAAAAGTCAAACGAATTATAATTTGGAACGGATTTAGTATTCACTACTGGAATCTCGCTTTTTTCTGTGTGCGAAAACACAAAAAAAAAATGCGAATACCGTCAGAAAAGTATTTTTCTGACGGTGTACCTTCAAAAAAATACACACAGAAATATAATGACAGAAAAATCGAATTTTTCTGTGGGTTCACCGTCAGAAATAATTTTTCTGTGGGTCTCACACGCACAAAAAAATTGTGTTTGTCCAGATTAAAACTAATTTTTCTGTGTGTTCATCCACACAGAAAAAAGAAATAAACGTATAGAAAAACACATGTTTTTTTCTGTCGGTCTAGGTGAACTCATAGAAAAATTCATTTCGCCCAGATTAAAAATAATATTTCTGTGTAGCCAGCCTCACAGGAAAAAAGAGTTAAACACACAAAAAAATTATTTTAAAACAGTAGCAACAACATATTAAAATATATATTTTCCATACAGTAATTTCTGTGCATGACCAACAAGGTTTCATTCAAATAATACACAAATCAGTAGTTCATCATGAATTGAGTCAACACTTATGTCAAAAATAGAATCAGTCTGATCTATCAGCACATATATCATATATACATATATGATATCTGGTCATCTACATGTTCAACATGAATACTCCAGAACCCTGTATCATAGCAGCTGTTTGTTCTGTTGGGGTAATCATTGGCAGACTAGAACTAGATCTTGTGCCATTTGTGACAACGGCACCATCAAATCGTCGCCTAAGTTGAATGGAATGTTCAGACTCTGCTCGAGCAACCTGTTATGGCAATCAGATAAGGGATTACCAATAATGTCATAAGACAGCTAAAATATTATTACACCATAAATAAATTTCAGAAAAAAAAGATAGGAGCTAATTGAGAAGCAGGGACCGGAATCAAGACATGCATGTCGGCATCACCCAAGGCACAAAACAGAGAATCTTGTGCCATTTGTGACAACGGCACCATCAAATCGTTGCCTAAGTTGAATGGAATGTTCAGACTCTGCTCGAGCAACCTGTTATGGCAATCAGATAAGGGATTACTAATAATGTCATAAGACAGCTAAAAGATTATTACACCATAAATAAATTTCAGAAAAAAAAGATAGGAGCTAATTGAGAAGCAGGGACCGGAATCAAGACATGCATGTCGGCATCACCCAAGGCACAAAACAGAGAAATGCAAAGGCCAGACAAGAAGGATGTGAAGACCACTCTGAAAGGTGATCAAACATCTCAAGTTGCTATGGAAGCAGTCTAGGTGGGCTTTTTCAATATAACAGGCTTAATCTCAAAGTGCTAAGAAAGAACTCTAGGTGGGTTTTCTCAACATTACAGACTTAAGTTGTAATCAATAAATAAATAGTTCAAGTGAGCAGTGAAATTAATAATTAGTTTTAAGTGAACATGGGTTTGGCCAGGTAGGAATCAGAACTGGCAAGAGGCATACTTGTGCCATAAAGGTGCTAGATGGCTCAGACAACACACATGCTCATGGCTTACTAGTGCAGGTGCCATTTATGAAAACAAGAATTCAGTTGGGAATGAACGGATTAGGTCTCTCTACTTGAAGTCCTACACATATCCTGTAATAGTACCCACTTTCATAGCTGTGGACGGACATGATTGCAAGGAACAATAACAGATGAAAAGCCATCATGCAATAGGGCATAAAGAATAGTTTTTACTTGCAACTGGCTGCGAAGAATTTCTGACTTTAACTCCTGTTATAGAAATAGGAAAGACAATTTTGAAAAGCATGAGTCATATGTAACTGAGATGGAACATTTGGAAGATAATGAAAGTGTGCATAAGACCTGTTCAATGAGAGCTTCTTTTAATTGATTTATCAGCGATATTTAGGGGATTTCATGCTAGTTGTTTTATCTCAAAAGTTATCAACATGTTGCTAAAAAAACATTTAAGCTCTTGTTCTGATTCGAGACACATGTTTTGTGCTGTAAACACAAGCAACCTTAATACACTTTGAGAAAGTATAGAACACAGATTAGAACTTAGGGCAAAACCAAAATGTCACTGCGATACAGGAGGTAGTATTTGCTAAGTTCCTCCAGACTTCAGTAGAAAAAAAGCCATCTTACATATCCCACAGTTGTAACTTGTCATTGGAAAGTATGAAATTTGTTTAGCCAAAGCCCATGCAGATAACTAAGCGTTCAGATAACATTTTGTTAATACTCAACTGGTTAAATACGCAACAGGTAAGAAACAAACACTAACTTTACTTTTTCGTACCACACATTGCAAGTGGATGGGCATGTAAATGGATAACACATAAATTCAGTACAAAATGCAGATACAAAGAACTAAATGACTGAGAGGATACATATGTTGGCTTTAATTGTGGTTTAGAATACGTCGGCATAATGTTTCAAGCCATCGATAAGGTTTACCTGATGCACATACAAGGTTACAAGATGTCCTTCCTGTCAAAATGCTTTACACTACTAGCCTACTAGTAAGAAAAGATCAAGGAAAAAAGAAAGAAAAAAATTGCTAACATAACATACATTCAAATCAATAGGAGGCTGCTGATGTGATTTCCCCATATTCTTAGAAGGGCTGCTGATGTGATTTCCCCAAATTCAAATCAAGGAAAAAAGAAAGAAAAATATTGCTAACATAACAAGGCATCCATGCATGCAAAAGTTTTAAAAGTAGCATAACCAAGATAGCATTCTAAATGTATATAGCACTTTTATTCTAGAGGTAGCATAATTCAGTTGCCAATTACGCTCCAAGTATTAGTTCTAAAAGTAGTATAATAGGAAAATCAACTGGCATGGTTCCTGTAGGCTGGCTGAAATAAACATGCTTTGCTCCTATTATCACGCTGAGATGACACAAAATCTTACTAAGATACGATTGTAAATGAGACATCTCATCAAGCAATTTACACCGCACTACATCTTACGGTCTCCATGCAGTGCAGATATTTGTGTCAATATAGATATAGCAATGTTGAGAAAAAACAAGGACATATAGAGAAGCTGCAGGTGAAGAAAAATGAGGAATTGACCAAGATTGTAGCATCACTTAAAATTAGTTTGCTATTGAGTGCGCATGAATCCAATCTATGGGTACAGAAGTGCCAGTTATTAGTAAGAATACAGAACAACTGTAACTAAGTTGACAAAAAATAAGATTGTGTCTACAATGGATGCAAGGTAAAACAGATAGGATCAACCATGGCTACTAATTTCCTTTGTCTAGAGTCATATAGGAAGTAGAAGCAAATGGATAGAACACTACATGCATTCGGAATTCCAGAGTAGCACAAATTTGTTACACAAGCTATGGAGTGCATAGACAATGTTGGCCTAACTACAACCAGTGTTTTCTTGCTAGATTGCAGCTATTGAACTCCTAGTACTCCTGATGACTAATACACTGAAAGGAGATGCAGGTACTGGTTTCAGCGGATTGATGACAAACTTGTTGTCCGGACTCAATAGTAGCTATCTGCCAACCAGTCAGAGGAACCACACACGCTGCATTACAGCTGAACTGAGAAACCAAGGCAGCTGAACTCCGGCCGGGGAAGAAGAAGGGGGGGGAGGGCGCCATGGGGAGAAGAAGGGGAGGGAGGGCCGCCACCACCACGCCCCGCCGTCGGCCACCACCACCACCACCGCAACCACCGTCCGGATCCGGCCGGGTGAAGAAGGGGAGGAGGGCACCACGGGAAGAAGAAGGGGGAGGGAGGGCGGCGTGGGGAGAAGAAGGGGGAGGGCGCGGATCTGCTCGGTCGTCGGCGGCGGCAACGGATCCGGATGCGGCCCTGCCTCGTCCTCGTGCCACCGGTGAGGGAGGGAGAGTAGAACCGCCGGAGTTGATGACGATGCGCGCAACCGCCAGCGTGGAGGTGGTGGTGCCGGATCCAGCCGCCTGGGGGCGCGCCCGTCATGGATTTGGCCGGATCTGGGGGTGAAGGAGAGGGGCCGCGCCCGCCACGTCGATGAAGAGGGAGAGGGAGGAGGGGAGGAGTGGTGGCGCTGCTCGGGTAGGGGAGGAGTGGCGGCGCTGCTCGGGGAGGGGAGGAGCCCCCGCGCTGAGTCGCAGAGGGAGGGGCGCAACGCTAAGTCGCGAGGCGCTGAAAGGAGAGAGTGAGGGAGGGGGCGCGGTCTAGTGCGTGCGTGAGAGGGTGTTTGGGGGCGTGGCGGCCGGCGGGTTAGGGTTAGGATTTTTGTGTGCGTGCACATATTTTTTTCTGTGCGTTTTGAAAGAACCGACATAATAAATTATATTTTTCTGTGTGTGCTGATTTTTTCCGTGTGTGTATTGTCACGCACAGAAAAATCAGGGTTTTCGTATTTTTCTGTCGGGATATTTTGGAACCGACAGAAAAATCGTAATTTTTCTGTGCGTACCGAAAAAAACGCACAGAAAAATTCATCACCCACAGAACAATTCGAGTTTCCAGTAGTGATTAGACTTCTGATGACAATTCAGTGATTGGCTTTGCTTTTCTTAACATTGAATCTGGGTACCAGCGATGAATATTTATTATGTAAAATTCTTATCTTTTAGGATGTGCACTGTGCTCGCTTATGAGGCCCAAGTCATTCAAATTAAATTTACATGAGTTAGGAGAACATGTCAGTATTTCAAACATATGTGAATATACATATTTCCCCCCTCTTTTTTTGGTATCCATTTCATTGTCTGAGAGATGCATGATTCGGTCCATCCCGAGATGCTAGTACTTTCAACTTTCAACTAGTCCCTCAACTATGTCCTCAAATATAAAGCATACATTTATTTTAAAATTTAAACGACCATCAATTAGTCTAACGATATCAAAAATTTATATGGTAATGGGCTACATTATATTTGTATTTGGGATTTACTATGGTACATCTAAATAACTATGACCTGTTGATCCCAATGTTTATCAATACATATTACCTCCAAGGAGGTAATAAAATAATTATATATTTATGCATTTTTTATTTGAAAAATAGACAAAATAGTAGGTAAAATATATTGTAATTGGACTATTAGCTCTAATATGATGGATAAAGATCCATCCCATAATTAGGTCTACTAATTAGATGTCTGGTATCTCGTACGTGATTGTGTCCATGTGTGTCGGATTGAACATGACGTTCCTGTGAATATTTTATTTTTAAAATCTGCATAGATGTGGGAAATAAGATGCTCTTTACAAAATGCATTTAGACGTAACTTTTTTATGTAAGAATGTAACGCTAGCAAAAAAAAAACTAATGAGCCGGATCAGTCGGCACCATAGGTAGGCCGGTGTTCCTTTCACGCCTTCCATGCAACAGGAAAACATGTAATGCCTTGTTTGGATGTAGTCAGATTCACGTTATTCCACCCCAACACATGTGAATTGACGAATCCGACAACATCCAAACAAAGCCTAAGGAAAGCAAATCCTTGCTCACGAGATATGGCACAATATGGTCATAATTTTCTTTTTTCTTGTTTGCTAATTACTATTTTAACTATATAATTATTTCATTTATTTAAAAAATCAAGGGTTATGATCTATTTGAACTCTTACTTTCTATGAGATAATATGGGAGTACCGTAGCAAGGCTCATTCCTATTTAGAGACACTTTCTAATGACCAAACTTCTGATGTTATACATTGTATCTTATAAGATAAAGTAACTGTTTAAAGTATGATCTTAAAGATCACGCTAAGTTTATCACACACTTATATTTTGGGACGAGGGGGTACATTTGATCACCCCATGCCTGGGAGGTGCTGACCAGAGAATTTGATCACACCAAGTCTGGGAGGTGCTGACCACAGAATTTTATCTAACCTCAGGCGCTGGAAATCCAACGTCTATATGTTGCCGGGGTCAGACAGGTTTCTTAGGTTAGCAAGCAAACAAGCCTATAGTTCTTAGTGGTTATATCCCACTATTTATTCAGCTGTGTCTGACATCTTCCATTGTCAGCTAACGTCGTACGCAACTATCCCGATGCCATAAATAAAACATCTATATAAGGATCTGTTTGGATATTAAGGGCTAATTGTTATTGTTAGTAAGCTATAAAAACTAGACAAAATTAGCCCTGGTCTATCCAAACATAGGTGAGAGAATTTATTAGTCAATTCTCCGATTAGTTGTTAGCCACTAGCTTGGTAACCCCAGCTAATTTTTTTTTGGCCACGACTATAATAATTAAGTAGCCCTAGCAAATCCAAACATGCCTTAAACAGAGTAATTCATCTATGCTAAGCGAACATAGATAACTACTATCCCAAAATTCAATCGGCTGAAACATTAGAATGTTATTAACTCCATCGTGTGCACTAATGTTATTTGCTTCCAGAAGTCCATATATCTGCATTGGCACACGTCATCATTGTTCACACATATAGAGTGACCCTCCATAAAGTGGTCGGCTTAGAGCTAGAAGCACACGACTACCATCTTGTCGATCTTCTGTCCCCCCCTAACACACGCCACACAACGGATTACATGGTTCTTATTATCCTTGAGTTAGAAGTGCTACACCGTCCACTACTATCCTGTAGCGAGTGAGACGTGAGAGAGACAATGGCCAGCATCATTCATGGCGCTGATTCAAATTTTCACTACCGGGCTGTTGCTGCTCACCAAGGTGGTCGTCGACGATGGATTGTCCGTCTGCACCCTCCTCACCTACCGCTTCTTCATGGCCGCCATCTTGGTCATCCCCTTTGCTGCCATCTTTGAGAAGTTAGTTCCATCCATCTCTTCAAGAATATATATGTCCCTATATACTGTTGTTACTTTCTTTGATCCATGTGGTCAGTCATCTCCCTAATTTCGGTAGCAGAAAATTTTGTTTTGCACACAATAATAATACTGTAGTAGTAGTACCTTTTCTAATGTAGAATTTGCAAAGTGCTTCAGTTAATTAGTATCAACAAAAGAAGATATACAACTGTGCTAATAAGTTCTTATTATATTTCCCCCTGCTTTGATCTAATTATGTTATCCTGAATATATACTGAATTTTTTAAGTCTCCATATATGATAGTGTTGATTTTGATTGTGCTCATGTAGAGGGAAGTGGAAGGAGATTAAATTGAAGGCATTCATATGGATTTTTACAAGTGCACTTGTAGGGTGAGTTGTCGTCCTCTCATTGATCTTATATCAAACCCATGCATCAAGTACATAGACGATCATTTTCTTAATAACAATAATAAAATTCTATCTCTTCTCCTTACCTACAGGTTCACAATTCCTGGTCTTTACTACATTGGTCTGGGAGATACGTCACCCGGATATGCCATCAATTTTTACAACATCATCCCGATAGCCACATTCGTCCTTGCTATTCTTTTCAGGTACGTAGTAAGTAAAGTCTGCCGAGTTGTTTGTTCCTGATGAAAAGATACATATACACCTACCTATATATAGATAATTAACCTGCTGTTTCATCAGGAAGGAGCCTTTGAACTTGAAGAGCCTGGTAGGAAACATCAAGGTGATAGGAACCCTAGTTTGTGTTGGGGGGACACTGGTCATCAGCCTCTACAAAGGCAAAGTGCTTCATCTCTGGCCTACCAACATCATCGGGTACCACCCCAAGCAATCTGGATCAGCGTTTGGGCACCACCATATGCGTGGAACCGTCTTGCTCATCGTCAGCTGCTTGAGCCTGGCCGTCTGGTACACAGTGCAGGTATATATTACTTTATATATATAAACCAACAAATGATTAATGCAGGCACTCAGAGAAATATAACTAGCAGAAACACTTGCAGCCCACGCATGCAGTATCTTACCATCTGTTGTTTAATTTTCAGAATGTTCCTACTGTCAGACTGAATGGTAGATATTAAATAAAATGTGAAAAATTAAAGTGGTGCTTTTGATCTCAACTCAGCTCTCTGCTGATGATTTATTCAACAGGGGAAACATACATAAAGTTTCAGGAAAACTTACATGTAGTCTTGCATTTATACAGGCCCAGATGCTGAAAGTGTTCCCGTACAAGTACTGGTCCACAGTTGCCACATGCTTCGCGGGCTGCATCCAAATGGCTGTTGTAGGGGTCGCAATGAACAGAGAAAAGGCGACTTGGCAGCTGAAATGGAACATGAGCCTGCTTACAATTGTTTATTCGGTAAATCTGGCAATCCTCAATATTAAAAGTCACTAATTAAGATTTTTTTTTCATCTGTTGTTTTTTTTTGTTTTTTTTCATTCTCCCCAATGCAACCTGGGTTTTCAATTTTTTTCCTCTACCCGTCCACACTTCTATGTGCAATTCCTCTGGATCTCTTTTTTTCTTTTTCGTCCATCCCATTCATGTCATGCACAACCTAAGTCTGGTTTTGCAACTGGTTTTTTCTCCATAGAAAAGAGGTAAGTAGATTGAAAAAAGGAAAGCAACTAATTTTTTCCATGGATAAGAGGAAAATGGAGAAAAGTGGAAGCAGAGGAGGAAATATAAAAGCAAGATTGCAAAATATATAATGGAAAGATAAGGAATCATACTCATAACCATAGCTTAAGAGATGGATTCCACTACCAAGTTGTTGTTGTGTTTATGAGTTTTTTGCACAAGTAATCCTATTTGAGCATTAGCCGTCATGCAACCTGACAAAACCAAACAAATCAAATCATAAATGCTAACGCAATTGCTTTTATGTCTATACATACGCCTTGCCATCTCCACCGAGGTTTGTAGTATGGAGAATATGGAGATGTCACTATAATAGACACAATTTTATTAGAAAACACAGGAGTATATTAAGTTATTAACAAGAGAATGGGTGTAAGAACCCAACAACACTTACACCACATTACACCACACACAGATAACACGACGCACTCACACAACACAACGCTACAGCATCCTTAAACACAAATGCGCCTTTGACAGATAAATGTTGACCCACATAGACCAGAAAACTAATCACCTGGGAGGGGGGACAAAAGGGATAGTCCTTGAGCCCCTGTCGTGGACCACAACTGGCGTTCCTCAATAGCCATGACTAAAGCCCCAGCAACACTTGGCACCTATTTACCAAAAACACAACAATTTCGATGGTTCCAAAGAATCCAAGCCCCAAAAATGATTAGGGAATTAACACCTTGCCTCACCAACTCAGAAGTAGCATTACTAGCTCTCTCTCCCACCAATCAAGAAATGAGTTTTCAGTAGGTTGTGGGGATAAGGCCTGAAGACCGACCTGTCTTAGCAATGAAACCAAAATTACCTAGCAAAGACACAGACGACTAGGACATGGTCGATGGTTTCCTCATCTTAATCATATATTGGACAACGTTCCAGGTGGGGTAGCCCACAACGTGCAAGGCGACCTGTCATCCAACATTTGTTGTGTGCAACTAACCACATGAAGAACCGACATTTAGATGTTGCACAAGACTTCCAAATCCTTTCCCACGATACAAACAGGGTAGCACCTAAGAAAAAGCCCTCATAGGTCAACTTGGCTGAATACTGTCCATTGGAAGAGAACCTCCAAATATGTTTGTCCTTCCTTTCTGGCTGCAGAACAGTAATTGAAAGGAGATGGTTTAGATATATTTCCATGTATAAAGTATTTTTTAAAATATGGTAGCAGCTTAAAATAAAATATCTACGGAACTTTATTGTAGGTAAAGGTTGGAGATAAGGTTCACCAGGACTCACCTGAGTTTTCTTTTTTTTTTACCATGTTTATGTTAGGCTAAAGGAGTGTACTCCCGTTGCAACACTCAAGTGTAATGGCTAGATAGACATATTTGATTGATACTCCTTATTTAGCTATCTACTACTACACAAAACATTTATAGGGATGGTCAAAATTGATTTGCAAACAATACTCTCTAGAAGTCATAAGTCATGTTATTTTTCATATGAGATACATGCAAATAAATTTTCTAGGATCGAACCTATAACCTCTTATCTCACGCAAGAAATCCAACCACCTCACCACAATGTCAGCTATAACCAAATATAGGATGTTATCATCTGTATTAACTTCTATGACTCTTGTTTTGAATATTTCAGACTTAAACATGTAAAATAGAAAAGTTTCAACAACAAAGTTTTGGATTTGGTTGAGCTCTGCAACTTTGATATAGAATGCGTGATGCATTTGCATCTAAGGTCGTTAAAAAATTGTAAATTCAAAATTTGAGAACATAAAACGTGTATTTGAGCCCTAAATGATCTCAAATAAAATAAATTCATCACTTATAAAATTTAGATCTTATATAGATCTACAGTTTTGATATAAACTTTTTCTTCAATTAACCTTATTTGAAAACTAATGGACTTTCTTAGTGCACCACCTATTGTTTGGGGCGAACGGAAATACCAACCGCCGTTAGGAATGCCCTTCATTTCCTAGAGCAGTCGGTAGATGTGATGATTCTAAAATTATTTCTGTTGTAGTGGCCCTAAGTCAAATTATCACAAGTTTGACACCAATTTATAGAAAAAAAATATTTAACATCTACCATATATCAAATATGTAAATTGTAAAAATATATTTCATAATAATGTATCTAGTGATACTAACTTTAATGTCATAAATATCATTATTGTTTTATATAAATTTATTCAAATTTAAAGAAACGACTTATATCTGGAGGACCAAAGAAGTATTTAGCCAAGTGTTTGATTGCTAGTGCTTAAATGTACTCTTGTTCTTTTGCACAGGCAATACTCAACACTGCTGCCAAATTCGTGATGATTTCATGGGTCGTCACGCAGCGAGGCCCAACCTACCCATCGATGTTTTGCGCAGTATCCGTCTTGTTCACCACTGTACTCGACTCGCTGCTTCTAGGCCATGATTTGTCTGTCGGAAGGTATCACTATAACTTTTTTTCCTCAGTCGTGATAATTCTTAAAATTCACATGCATAAGTCAAAAGTTAATATAATTATCGAACTCTGGGTAAGAAAGTTAATGTTCCTTCTCTTTATCTGACATGATGAAAAGCATACTAGAAAAAAACGAAAAATTAATAGTAGTACATTTTGAATATATTGACTTTGGGAAGGGAAAACAATATAATGCTTTTAATTTGGGAACTCAAAAAATAAAGAGGATGATTGCAGTTACGACTAATAGACCTAATGCAAATTTGATTTCATACATGCAGTATTCTTGGCATGTTCATGATTCTCGCCGGGCTCTACCTTTTCCTCTGGGGAAAGAGAAAATAATTGGTGCCCAACGATGAAGAAAAACCAAAGGATGAATTACAATCTCAGGATGAAGATAAAATCAAAGAATCATCAGGATCCAACGTATGAAATGCTCTGTCATAGAGAACGAGACACTTATCCAAGATCTGGTGTTCTTATGAGCATGAAGAAGCCTTAGCATGTTAGAGTGAAACTGAGTTCAGATTATGTCTTCTATATATGCAAGGAAACAAATAGGAACAGGACATTAATTGTATAACTTTCACGTTATATATACCTGGCGAGCGAAAATCCACCCCGTACCATGACCCTTGATTTGGTATTCTCCAGGTATATGATATTGATGTTATTCCCTGAAATAAAAATCAACTTTACCCGTAGTCCTTCAGGCCTTGTATGTTTAGGCCCTTCCCGACTGGGATGAGGGCCCAACCCCGGTGGATCAGGCCGGCCTGGAATGAATTCAGGCCGACAAGAAAACCCGACGTTCAGTTAAGCCTCTCGTGGGCTGTAACCCGGCCGACCAGGGAAATCATCGGGTCCGATGCGCCGTCCGAATAGAGCGCACGGGAACCTCGGTGCCGCACTGTTTCTCTTCCTCGCGCTCCCTCCTCGCGTTCGCAGCCCATGACGCGGCCCACAGGAAGCCCATCAACACGCGCCCCCACCCGAGCTCACCTGCGCCGCCCTCGTCTCCATCTCCGCCGGCTCTCTCTCTCCCTCGTCTCCAACTCCAGCGGCCTTAGAAGGAAGGGGTCGGGGGAGGCAGAGAAGACAAGCGGTGGGGATGGTGGCCGGGCGGTTTAGGAGAGCTGATGGTGGTTGCGGCGGTCGGGCCAGGTCTAGGGCGGGGGCGTCGAGGTCGCCGGCGAGCATGGCATGGCATGGCGCAAGCGGCGAGTAGAGAGGGGGGGGGGGAAGAAGGGGCCGTGGGCTCGGTGGCGGCGGGGCAGCGAGGGCGAGGCGAGGTGAGGGAAGAAGAGAAACAGTACGTGGGCGAGGTCGAGGTGGTGGTGGATGTGGGGCTCTTCGTCTTCGCCCTCCTCACCTACCGCTTCTTGCTCGGCACCCTGCTCGTCGCCCCGCTCGCCATCATCTTCGAGAGGTCCATACACGTACGCTAGCTGCTACCAAGTTGAATTAGTAGAGCAAGTCTAATTTCCTCTTTTATTAATCATATAATTAATTCGTCCGATGAGATGCATGCATGTTCTGCAGAAATTATATTTCGCACCATCTTCGATATATCGAGTCGAGAGAGAATGGCTGAAACTTGGCTGAAACTGGCTGAAAAAATACTGTTCTAACTGAACTGTTGGCTTGCTGAAACTTGACTGAAACTGGCTGAAAAATACTGTTCTGGCTGAACTGTTGTGAGAGAAAAACACTGTTCCAGCTGAAAAATAAGCCGAACAAGTCGGTTTCTGGTAAGCCGACCGGGGCCTTGAACAAGTTAAGTACCTCCGATCCACCGCTGTGTTCGCTTATACGCCGCTCAAGTCATCCTAAATGCATAGCTTGTTCCTTTAAATTTATAAGAGCAAGCTAGGAGCCTAGGAGTACATGTCAGTTTTGAGAGATACATGCATGCATGATTCGGTTCATCCCCATCCTGATGTGAAAAACCATATACACTATAATAGAGTGGTCCAATGCACAAGGAGAACGGGTGTATGCTAATAAACAAACATAAACAACTGGTGTCCCAAAATTGAATTACCTGAAGCATTAGACTCCACCTGCATGCACTGTACTAGTATACGTATATTATATATAATCACGCATCTTTTAATTATATATATTGTAGACGTAGCTTGCAGAAATCCGTGTGTCTAAATTAGCATACGTCATCATTGTTCACATGTATAGAGTGACCCTCTCCATAAAGTTCTGGGCTAACTAACTGGCTAAGAGCTAGAAGCACGCGAGTACCATCTTGTCGATCTTCTGTTCCCCCGGTCCGGGCCCCTTAACACACTGCA